CTCTCTCTCTCTCTCTCTCTCTTTGTTTTTGGTCAGCGTGTTCTGTGACTTAGCCTGCCCCTCCTGCTTTGTTCGATTTTGATATAGTCCTTATCTTTTTTTCTGGAGAGTTGTTGCCGTATTGGTCGTGGATCGCTCAAAAGCAACAACTCGACTAATACCATTCCTCTTTCACCCCCCTCCCTCCCTCTCCTCCATTTTCCACCATCATGAGCCGTCAGCACCTCTTTTACCACTTTGCAGCAACTTTTTATTTTGTAGGGTAAAGTGCGGGTGGTTGGCAGGTGCTCAGATGTGGTCATCTCCTCTTCTTTCCTAGTAAACATATATTGTCCACATCTGCCCTTTTTGTGTTTGTACTCCCTTGTAACACCTGTATTCTGCGACACATTTATATGACCTTATTGTGTTGCAAGTGCCGCAAAACTCTTACTAAAACTGAATTGTAGGGTAGAGTACCGGCGTCTGTGGTGTAGCGGCCAGACGTCTCATCATCGCATGCAGAAGGCCTGAGTTCGATTCCCGCGTGGGGAGAATTTTTTAGTAACTTGGTCTTTTTGTTGGGACGTTGTATCCCTTTCAGCACGGGTTTGCCCTTACATGTAAGTAAAACATTTGAAACAGTAAGAGTTCTGCGTAATCAATGGGGGGAATGAAGTAGCCTGCAGTGTGACCTCGGAGTGAGGCCGATATTCAATTTAAAAAACAACAACCCCAAAACATTAAAAAACAAAACTGGCAAAAAGGGCAACCGCATTATTATAATAAAAATGGCAGCTGCTGGCTCGATTGCTCCACGCACTTGTGTGTCAGTGTTGTCGCTACATACTCACACTGCCCGTGGCAATCGCACGACCTCTCCTTATCTCCCTTCCTTGTTCATGGGCTCCCGCGTTGTTCGTTGCTTGTGATACTGCACTTTATACAGGGTGCCCGAAGTAGATCGGATGGGATCGGACCGGGTCGTTTAATGGCGGCTTCAGTGTACACTACGAATAAACCCTTCCCTTGTGTCAAATTTGAGCGGAATAGAAAACTTTGTCCAGCGCACGATATTGTTGAACGCAAAACATACAGCCATAACCTCCGTCATACAACAGATCCAAGTAGCGACTGCCGCATATCGAAAAGGGTTCTTGAATCCTACAGACATGGGAAATGTGGATTGTTTTCTCGATCTATCAGTGCCAGTTTCTCCAAATCGACACGTTCTTTCTCCGCATTCCGCTCGCTCGCCTGTACACATCCGGTCGTTTGACTCACGACCTTGAACAACAAACATGTTTGTTTTTGAAGATCGTGATCGAATTCGGTCGAATTGTGTCACGATGAGGGTAGCGTTTGCCCCTTCATGGAGAACCC